GATCTCATCACCCTTTGAAACAGTAGGGTGAGATTAATTGCTTCCACAATGGTGATCTTTGTATTGGCAACACGCAAGAAAAATGTAGCAAGAGAGTACAATGGAAAAGATGTGCCTTCTCTCCCTTGCTAACCCCAGAGACTTCTTGACTAAAAACCTTGCTGCTAGATGGTGTTGCTAACGAGTTAGCAATGGAAGGAAGCATCAGCAGACAGCTAGGAGAAAGAACTTCACGCTTGCCTAAAAGCCAGCCTTCAACATTCCTTTTTCCCCTCCCAGGGAAAGATGTTTTGGAAGAAGCAATGTAGAACAAATTTCACAGAGAAATCTTATAAGTAAAATTCCCAAGACTTGTAAAAAAAATTTTTTGGAGTGTGTAAAAAGAGATAGAAAATATGTTTACTTGATATCAGCTTATTAATATACAATGATACTAATGAGAATTTAAACAAAACAAAACAAAAACTGCCATGCTTTTTAAATGCTAGTAGCCACAGGAAAAAGTAGAATAGAATGTAATTCAATCTCCCTACAAAAAGCAAAATTAAAAATTATAATTTTCTTTAGACTTCTTTACCATAGTTAAATAACTGGGGGAGGGGGGAGAACAGAGGGGTTGAGCAAGTCTTGTTATTTAAGTGAAATCCTGGAATTTGCATAGGACATAGCCATTACATTTAGGGAGCCTCAGGAGGAAGAGAATTCTCTGGTTACCTTAGAACTGGGAGCAGCAGTGACACGCTCAAGAGAAGCTCTGTTCTCAGCCTTCAGCATTCAGTGCTGCATCTCACTGCAAAGGATTTCCCCCTGCACTCCCCCCTCTCTAGGACAGCGGATTTTAGAGGATCAAGTTTTATGACTTCTCAGAGCCTGCAGGCAAACAGCATTTCCAGATAAACACTATGAACTATAAACCTCCAGTTGTCTGGGGACCAGACCACACAAGAAAAGCTCAGATTATTGTTGAATCCTCAAGTACTACTTTCTTCCCATTCCCTTCTTCGTCTGTCTGAATTTTACACGTGTTTCACTGCAGCACAGAATGCACTATTAATCGAGGGAGAATATTTCACAGCCTTTGAGCAAAAAAGCTAAGTGTAAAAAATGTATTCCGTGCCTTGTACTCATACATTTAAATTCATCTTCAGCAAAACGAGGGAGCATGCTTAAGACATTACATTAAAAAAATCATTATTTCCCAAGGATCTCTAAACTGGACTTAATTTAGATTTATTCAGGCCTCAGTTACTGAGAACCAGGGGTGAACAGGCTAACAGCAAACTGACTGTAAGAGAGAGAGACTAAAAGGGAAAGAGGCAGGTTTTTCACAGGGTTTAAAAGAAGTACTGTAATCTAGAAAAATTACAGAGAAGATACTGATCTCTGTGCATCTAGCTTTGATCCCATTAAAAATTCAGCTAAACAAGACAAAATAAGTCCAGGGCTGGAAAGAGTTCTGACCAATGCAGCAGAATCAGTTCTAAAAGGCATCTATGAAGGAGACATTTGTTAAATGTTAAAAACAAAGCACATCCCTTGTGTTGTATCCTCTCTACCCACCTGGTCATTTTGGAAAACAAAAAAAAACCCAGCTCTTTCATAATAAAGCACTCACCTTGCCACAAGCACAGACCAAATTCTGAACATCCTGATTCCTTTCCTCCCTCCTTTAATTCACCTGAGCTTTGCACCACCTACCCTGCCCACTCTCCCAAGCGAATGCTTGCTCTTAATTAGGCATTATAACCCTGTCTAGCCTGAATTCCCCAAATCACAATCAGGCCTAAATAAAAGGTATTCAGCTGATGATGACAAAATAAGCCATCTTGAGAGGTTGTTTCTTGAGACAAGAAACAAACAGTTCCATACCCATAATGATATCATATACTGTTAGGCAGTGTTGTTAATATTACTGATTCTCCTCCTTACCCCATATCTGATGTGTATTCATCTGGCTGTATGTGCCAGATATGTTGGGGGGGAGGGCTGTATGCATTACATATGGGGACTTGGAATGCCCTGGAATATAAATATGAATGTACAGACTATATCCCATGTTTCTTAGTCTCCAGCAATGAATCAGAAACTGGCAGTCAGTGTTCTGTTGGCTGCCTTCTTCCTGTTTGTACCTGAAAATTCACAGTATACATTCTTTCACTGAAGGAGCTGCATAAATATTGCTCTCTTAGTAAGAGCCATGCAAATCACGAGAATAAAACTCATTAGAATACTAGGAATATTTTCTAACGATTTCAGGTGGGAACCTAAGTGTTAACAAATTGCTCACAATACCCTCAGCAGCAGGGTAAAAAGAATCCCAAATGAGAAGTCCCTTACAAACTTTTTCAGTGCTTTGATTAATGAAGCACAGAGGATTAGCTGGCTTGACAAGAAATGCAAGTGAAATTCACACATAATCTGATATTTTCCTGAATAACTACGTAAATGAAAACAATGGCAGTTTGAAGGTGACTGGAAATAAAATTCCCAGGAGTGTTCAGTAATAGTCTTTCTCCATCCAAGTCCGAGACAATGGCAATAGATTATACCATAGAAAAAGAGGCAGAACTGGGACAAATGTCCAGTTGCTGAGAAAAAAATACTTGTAGTCTATTTCCAGCATGGCTGATGCTCTTGAGTCCCAGTTTTTAATTTCCAAATAAATGACTCCTGGAAGTCACCCTGTCCTGTCCAGGCAGCTTCTGAAGATCTCCTAGGAGACTCCCCAGCCTCCCTGGGCAGCCTGTGCCAGTGCTCTGCATATTTTTCCTTATGCATGGAGGTTTTTCCTAGTTTTGAAGTTTTTCCTGCCAGACTACAATTCATTCAGACTAAATATTTACTCGTAATTTTTGTGCACAAGGAGCCAAACTTCTTCACAATCCCTTTTAAAACAACAAAACCTTTATTACATGAACACCTGCTATCATCATGAACACAACTGTTTTTCCAAGATAATACCTGAGTATTATCTTGACAGATAAACAAGAGGATTGTTTTCCCTGCAGTATGATGTTTAGAGCTGCTATGGTCGGACTACCATCCAAGATAAATTCTCCTGTACTAGCACAAAACTGTTTATTCATCTTTTTTAATCCACACGCTCATAAACTTGCATACACGTATCACCTGATCAAAGCAAGTATGACTGCTGATATTCATAATCTTCTATTTGTAATAAGTATTTTGCTTGCATAACAACCTAAGCATTTGAAATATAAAATGTTTGATTGAAGAAGAAAGTTTCCTCAATGGTTACTGTTTACACATTTTGAGTATGCGTGTCTGTGCCAGAACTGTTTTTAAAAATTGGCTTTAGAAACATTCTGCTTTCCTAGTTGTTGTACTCTAGCTTGTATCCCTAATATCAAAAGCTGAACTATCCTAAACCATTTTCTTCATCTGAACATACTGCCTAGGAAAAAAATGAAAGCCCAGATTTTCCTTGTTTTTCAAAAGCATGACCTGACATTTTCATTGTTTTTTCCTCTTTTGAATTCTCCTCTATAATTTCTTCTCTTATACTTTAAGCTTTACTCTAAAAAAAAAAATACAAGACCCATTTACAGGATGTCATTTGCTTCCATTCTTTATGTATGCTTTCTTTTTCATTTTGTGTATAGTTTTCAAAACCATATGATTAATAAACTAATAAGAAGTGAAAAACAGAGGAAAAATATAAATTGTGTGTGTGTGTATATACATGTCCACATACGTGTGTATGTGTGACCCACCCCAGTATTAATCTTCTAATGCTTGTTTCAAGTGCTATCAGGGGATCAGAAGTATTATTGAGAAATAGCAACATTCTACTAGTACCACAAATAACTTAATATTCATGTCAGAGATCGTCTGCATCTTAGAAATGATGTTTGCTGTATCTCATATCCTGTTCTTGATTCTTCTCAAATTCTTTTTTTTTTTTTCTCCTTACATCTCTCACAGTTCATTTCATACACACTACAAGCCTCTCATTTCTTCTACATTTCGAAGTTCTTTATTGCTCTGTTTTGTTTTACTTTGTTTAATCCTGGCAGATGAAAATAAACTGATAAAGTTTCTGATTTTGCAAACTATTCAGTGCAAAGACTTCTGTGTGGTTAAGCAAATAATACATATTTCCTTGTATGGGGTCTGGTACCTGATGTCTTTATTCTGATGGAACAAGATTCCCAAGAGGATATACAAAATTTTACAATGAATTGTAAATGTTTGTATTTTATTTTCCATGTGGTACAAAACTCTATACACATCATATGCAATAATTCACTAATGGGCAGATATCTTGCTTGAGCAGATATCAATGGCTTCAATTATTCCTTATATGCTGAGATAGAATCACATGATACAGGATTGTTTTTCCAAACCTAGGACCAAGAAATATCTTGGTATTTTATAAAACGTATTCAGAAATTAAACTAGCCACATCTCAAAACATTAATAGAAATTAACACCTAACATTTCCAGCAATAATCTGGACTTTCTAGCTGTAACCTCAAATTCAAAAGAAAAGGGAAAGAAGTTTTTACTCTTCTTTGTTGTCCTGATCACAGGCCTTAGAGTCCCCTTGAAATTGGTCCTGTGACCACCATGCCAAGCAGTAACCAACAAGTTAACTGGATATTACAGCCTGCAGCTCTCCCAGTGCTGCTAGGTCTGAAATCCAGTTGGTCCTGGAACAAGTCTTTGCCTTTAGCAGATGATAACAGTCACTTTAGGAGACAGCCCTTCTGGTTCTCTCAGAGCTTCTGTTGATACATGCAATCTCTAGCTTCTGAAACTAGAGTAGAGCTTAGCTCACTATATTTGAAAAGCTTCTGGGGTTTCAGATACAAACAGTCCTGTTTACTTGTCAAATCAAGTCTAGATTTCAGAAACAATGATAGCAAAAAAGTTACTTTCTAAACATCACTCCAATAAGTAAAAAAAGACAGAGCTGGTGCATATTTTAACCCTTGACCATGGAACAAAAGTCAGAAGTGCTAGAGAGTCATCAGTACCTTGTGGCGTAACCTTACGACGGGCTGATAGGGCCTGAAGTCATATCCTTCCTTGGCTGGCCATCCATCTGCTCCCAGCAAAATGCTTCCAAGAAGTAAAACAGCCGACCACCACATAAACATCTTTACAGGTCTGTTCCTGTCAAAATAAAATGGACAACTTCAGTGACAAAGTTTAATCATTATTTTAGCACAAGTGATTTTCTTTTCAGTATTCAACACTCATACAAGATTTTAGCTGCTCTAAACTCAATCTTAGCTTTAAGAGTAATATACAATACAATATTTAACACCATCTTTGTGTTTCACTAAGACTAATCCCATTCGGAATCTCCCTATTAATAAAATTCAAGGTTTCTTCTTGGTTATCATTGCCTTTCTTATTCTAACAGTGCCAGTTACATTTATTTTGCATGCCAGCTCTTCTAATTTACTGCAAGAGGTAACTCTCAGAGGATATCTCTTGAAGAATAAGCTAAGCAGTGAATGATTTGAAACAAACAATGTGCTCTATTACAGACAGACATTTTACACAAATAAACTAAAGTTTGGTCTTTTGTACCTGTTCAGTAACTGTATTTTAAAATGATCACTGAAACTTCTCTTTTTGAGGTCCCCTCATGTCAAAACAGAACTGCTAATGTTCCAGTGTATCTTTGACTATGGGGCTATTAAAACAAATCTATATCACTGACGTGAAAGACTGGAAAAGATTAATCTCAGAACTCTGAGACCTCAAGTTTACCATGGAATGGCATTTTTCTTCACGGACTCTGTGTTAGTTCTTAGTATCACTGAGAAACAACAAATCTATTACAAGAAAAAGTAATTAAAAGAAAAAAACAGAAAAAAAAAAAAAAAAAAAAAAGGGAAGTATGAAAGAAAAAAAAAAACACTTCTCATCTTGGCTTTTAATCTTGAAGAAAACACCCTTTTATTTCTGTTCATTGACAAATATTTGAAAATAGTTTATTCTGAACTTTCAAGGTCAGAGTCAGATTTTTTAGCAGTTATGAATACTAAAACTAGCTATGCACAGCTGAACCTTTGTCCCTTTTTTTTTTTTTGCACTTTTGGTATCTCTCTCTGTCCAACGAAAATTACTTTGGATAACAGTCGTTCCACAAAAGATGACGAGGGCAGACACATTCCCCTACTCATCTAAATTTTAGCTTCACGTGGTGTAAAAGAATAGAGGTTGTACACTTTGGGAAATTGTTTGACCCTGAAAGCCTTCTCCTTTTACTGGCCGTAAAGAAGAAGTAGTTACTGCATTCTCAGTCTCTGACTGCACTGCCTGGTGCTTGGATGAACACAAAAAAAAAATCTGACTTTCTAAATTCAGATTTTAAGACTCCATCTAAAATCCCAAAGTACTGTAGGGTATCTACAGTCCTTATTTGCCTTTTCAGAAATAAAAAACACATTTTTTCAATATAAAAATTTTCTGTTGACCTTATTGCACAACTTACATACATACTTCTTCTCTAAAACGTACTACCAATATCAGAGTTCTCCTTAAAATAATGCTATTTTTATACCTGAAAGACTTTGAAATTTTGCTGTTTGGATAACTTTCTTCCATACTTTAACTTCACGTGTTACCCATTTGCATACTTCTTATCTGAGTTTTTTTACAGTATGACAACCACTATTTTCAATTTCATTTTTCTATTTATTTAAAGTAACATGGATAAATTGAGTTTTCAGCTGTCAGAAGCTTTTTAATAAATCGTAACATCTGAATATGTGAATGACTACATTTAGCATGCTGCTATTAAGAGCACAGGATATTATATAAAATAATATGCTTTTTACAGGAATTGGAGGTAGGTGAGCTTCAGCAAATTCAGGGTCAAATGAGTGATGAATCATGTGTTATAACCAATGCTATGCAAAATTATTTCTCATCAGAAGCTGCTGTAAAGATTTTAAGCATGAATAAAATGAAATTAAGAAATATATAACAAAAAACAGAATTCAACAAATACAACTCTTCTAGAGCCCTTGAGTACAAGTAACTTTTAGACTTCTGTGCTGTTCTGCTAACGCTGTCTGAAAGTGTGGTGATAAAGTTCTACTTCCATTTTTAAGACAACTCATGTACTTCTGAAAACTTTGGAATGGATGGGGTAGGGCCAGGCGTGGGAAGTCTCAGACAGCTATTAACAATAACTACCTCATCACGTACCCTATGAATACAAATAGATAATTTACAGCTACTTGTAGAACGTAAATAATAGTACTGTGTTTTCTTTTTTTCTGAGGTACATTATTTTGCTAATTAACAACGAGCTTCACCTGCTATTTTATAATTAAACTGATCATCAGCGTAGGATCCTTCTATGCTATTTTCCATCAACCTGAGATTTCCCTGAAGAGGAGGAACGAATTTAAAGATGAGGAACAGAAAATGGCTATTCCATGTTTCCGAATGTACACTAAGTTCTTCAAATTTAGATTTGCCTTTCTGATTGTCACAAAGCAGTCACATTCCTTTCTATCCCATTTCCAGAGCAATCACAAATCTGACACACAGTGCAGTTTTCTTGCTGTTGACTTCTCTCTATTTAAATTACTTCAGAAAAGTTTTGATAAATTATTACTCATATGAGGATTCTTTAACCCAATGACAAATTTGCTTCTCAAAACTTTCAGGCGAGGAACCCTTTTGGAACAGCTGTACCTTCTGAAATGGCAGTTGGATGGCAGAGGAAATACCTTAGGGCATCCCTGTTGCCTCATTTAGGTATGGGAAGACAATGTGGTCATTCCTTTAGAAAAGCAACATGCTCTGTTCCATATTATTTGTGCTTTTTGTTACTGTTCTGTTCTCCTCCTTCCATAGAATGCCCAAAATAATTACTATACTGAAAATCTCTGTCTAACAATATCCACTCTTACATTCAGTTTGCAACCCTCTGTAAAAAATATCTGGCTGTGACTTATTCATCTTATGATGGTATACATATTCTTCAAGATGACTCTCATCTCTAAGGGAAAAAACAAAAACATACTGTTCAGACCAGAACTGCAAAGAAGGAAGGTTCGGTCATGGCTTTCTACTTAAACTTAGAAAGCATAAATTGATTTATTTTATTTAATTACAGATTATTTTGCTTAGTAAAATAAGCAAAACAACTAAAAATGTGGTTATTCACTATGTTTGGCACAAGGCAATTAAACACAATTTTAGTCTGTTCAGTAGAGCAACAGGATGTTGGTAATCATCTAGCCTTCAAACTTTTCTGACTCTCTCAGAAGTGGTTTATGCGGCAGGTTAGTTAAATCACTATTATGTTATAAGGCAGTTAAATCACTATTTTAATTATAGACAAAACACCATGAAATTGTAAATTACCTCTTTACTTGGCATAAGATATTGATTTCACAGAACTAAACTGTGTGTACGTTTCCAATTCTCGTAACTGATGCCAAATAATCCTCAATGTTTCTATTGCACTCAAACCATCAAATAGTATTAACAACATGGATGGGATTCAAACACGTATTTGAGGAAGATGGGCTTCTCTAAACTGAATATCCAACCTGTTTAAACTTTAACCATCACTAGCAATTTCAACATAAATTCTTTAATCAAAGGCACCTTTGAACAGATATACATCAGGAATTATACATTAGCTTCAACATACAAATGTACAAATTATAGGTATTCATGGCATCTGTTCCTGACCCTCATCGCCTACTTTATCTCAAAACTAATGACAGCTTTAGGCACATTAAGTAAAAAGGGAAAGTGCTTTGAAAATAACAAATTTACTGATAAAGCCACCAGCAAAGAACAAGTTACACAAAGTGGGAAAACACTGCTTGTATGTTCTTATTTTTTTTGAAAGGGCGTGTGAAAAAGCAGTATACCAATTTCCAAAACAAAACACACACACACACACACACTCAAAAACAAACAAACAAAAACAAAACAAAACAAAAAACCATACACACCAAAGAAAATGAAACAAGCAAACCAAAACCAAAGAAAGTTACAGGAAAAGTTCACCAAATGGCCACAGTGATCCTTCTTGATGAGTTAATCATTCCTGAGATGGAGAGCAATGCTTAAAATTCTTGAGAAAATGCAACATTTGTCTCCATCTCCCTTTTCTTTCCCCTTAATGTTTCTCACTGTTCTACTTTCCAGTATTTTGCAGAAAACGAACTAAACCTGGGTTCCGACACCTTCCTTATAAACATCTAATCACGATTAAAGTATTGTAGAATAATTTATTTCAAGCTTATTGTGCTTCCTAAGTCTTCTCAGCATTTTAGTGGTAATTTTTATTCTTTGACTCATTCCTCATTTGAAATTAATGGACTAAAAGAGATATTGCTACTATAATAGCTTAGCAAATATATACTAAACAGTATTTTATATCTCCTCACGATGTAAGCTGAACAAATAGAGATTGAAAAAATATTGAAAAAACACTCAACTAGTTCCAAATATGATAATGTATCTATATACAGTATGTAAAAGGTATAACAAAAGAAAGCATACTTAAACCATCGTTTAAATGCTGACTAAAAACATATCTAAACATGCAAATACACCTCACTTAAAAGTGTGTATGCTTAAAATTAGTTTTTCTTTCAAAGGAATTGTTTTCAGAATTCCTGACATTTATGCTATTGATTTGTGTTACTAAAATGTGTCCAGCCAAGACATTCTGTGTTAACAACTGAGACATAACTCTTTTGAAAATACAGCCATTGTATCCAAATAAACTGATTTAATCAATACATCTACGTAGGGTAATACATGAAATTGGTAATAAATTAAATTTTAAATACCACCTCTAATTGTGTTCCTACCACCTTTTTTTTTTTTTCTGAAATGACACATTATGAATTAACTTGCCTTTATTTAAAAGGTCTTTTTAGCATCAGAAGCAATAGCACAGTGTACCCTCATGACCCCATCAGTCTTCTTCACATACTATTCATATGAAGAAAAAAAAGCCGGGAAACTGTAACAATCAGTTGTCTGCTTGGTAAGGATCAAGAAAAAAAGCCTAAGTTCCATAATCATATTCAGTGTTATTAATAGTTTGGTAATATAGCTACAGTAATAAATGTACACTATGCTTCACCGACTATGACTTTGAGCACTTCATTGTACAT